GATGCGGTTGACCTTCCGACACACACAGTGTGGTCTCCAGTGCTGTTTCAAGTTGCCTGGGATCCGAAGGTTCTCTGCTTTATTTCAGACTTGTGAAATGTGGTCGGCGTGTCGCAAGATAACCAGGAATAACGACGTCACCAGCTGGCGTGTAGCCCCCACTGCGCAGGCAGCCTGACTTGGCGCATTTAATAAAAACTCAGGGTTGTGTTGGGCAAGGAGGTGAAAGCAGGAGGAGAAGGGCTTTGCTCTTCTTCCGTGCTGGTGTCTTACTGTACTCACACCTTTGGGATGCTTCAAAAGGGCTGTAAAAGCCGTCGTGGTTTATTATGTTGGGGTGCAGTCTGGTCTTCAAAGTGAATGGCAGCGGGTAAGCACTTTCCAGCAACTCAGCAAAGAGCTCAGCTCCTCCAGGGTTGGAACGACCCTGCCCCGTGTGCGGCAGCTGTTTCGCAGGAGCTATCGGGGGCTGCCCTTGGAAATAAACTTTTCTGCCTGTTGCCTACCTATGAGCATGGTTGACTTCTGACCACACTAATTAGCCCTGAGACAACAGGGCCATTTTGATGTTGTGTCAAAATCGTGTGGTACCCAGGGATGCTTGAACACCACAGGGAGAAATTAAAGTTGGGAGGGATGGAAGAGGAGCAGGCTTGGCCTGGAGAACACCAAGCCCTGGAAAACAGAAAGAGGGCTCTGCAGGTGTTGCTTTTTTTCATTTGCTTCTTGAGCCTTGAACTTATTCTTTAAAAAAATCTAGAAGCTTGTACACGGGAGAGAAAGAGCAATTAAGCTGGAGGCTGCTACAGCAGGTTTGTGGTGGGAACAGCCCATAATGCCTGGAAGCTGCTGAACTTTATAAATTCTTGGACTTTGAAGATATCCGGCAAATCCTACTCTTGAAAAATGCCTCCCTAAGTGCAATGTTTGTAGCTTATGTCCCGTGCACGTGCCCTCTGACTCCTTTTCCTTCTGGTCCCTCGCACGTCTTCTCATCCGAAGAGAGGACAGTTGGGGTCCGTCGAGGTGTGCCAGCCTCTGCTTGTCTGCAGGCAGGGGACGGGGATGTTTTTCCCCCCGTGCTTTGATATTTGCTATGGCAGCATAATCTGCTGCAGCTGCGGAGTCCGGGCCGGTTTAATATGCACACAGAAATTCTGAAAATGGTTTGGGAATTGTTAGCAGCCGGAGAGGAATCCAGTGAATGGGAAAGTCCAGCAGATGTGGGGATCCCCTTCCTCCTCCTGTCCTCCTCTGCTCTCCTGGACCCAGGTGCTGTTTCTCAGACTAAATTTGCATCTTCAAGAGAACAGGAGCTGACTTCCAAAATGTCAGCAGAAGCCAAATCATTAGGGGATAGTGTGTAAAAACCGTGTCCATCCAAGCACGGAGCAGTCAGGTGTGTCCGGCCTTGTCCTGGATGCGTCTATAGCCAGGGATCCACAGCTTTTCACAGCAGGATTATTTGGCCACCGTGGCTCGTGCCCCTTCTGTGATTCTTCTCAGCAGAGATGGAGGTACGGAGCACATAGATTTATCTTGTTTCTTGGTCCAAATTAATTTCAAAATTGTAAAACTCACGTGCCAGTGTGGGAGTGGAAGTGGACTTGAAGACAGCAGCAGGGTAAAGAAGACTTGAAACACCCCCTAATTATAAGAGTGGGAGTTTCTGTGCTGAAAAACGGATTTGATATTAAGAGCTTTAAGTGACGTTCGTGTTTGAAAGCTTTATAGTAAACAAAATGTGATTGACTCTCTTAGTGACTCATTGCAGAGAAGATTTTGATTTTTCGATCTGGTGCTTTTCTATCATATACTTGTTTTAATGATCCCTGTGGAATAATAGAGCATGATAACAGCTTGGGCAAGGTAGGAGGGAAGGTCATCAAGATAGCTGTCCTTTTTTAATATTCCAGCATTCTTGCACAGAGCCTTTCTTAATGTCCGTCCTGCCACTGACAGGACTGCCGGCTGCGGCACATCCTGTGAGATGCTATCGCCGCGTCCTGTAATTTTAGAAAAGGTTCGAGGGGCAGAGCGAGCTGCGGATGATCCGGGCGGGGGAGATGAAGCCGTGACTGTTGACAGCGAGTCTGGCTTGTCCCTGTCTGCCCAGCTCCAGCCCTCGCAGAGTGATGGAGAGGAGAGTGACGGGATGGGCTGAATAACTCGCTAGAGGATAAACCCGCAGAGCGGCCATCGGTACCCGCCGCTCTGCTTCCCCATCCCCCGAGTCACACGTGATATCACTTTGTATCCGTCGTGCTTCTCTCTGTGCCTTTTGGATGAGCCCTGCCTGGGTTTTTGTGGTGGCAGTGCCGGTGGGGAGTGTCCCTTCCGTGCTGATGCTGAGATAGAGACCTCCCGCGCCAGGGTGTGTGTGGGTCCGAGCTCCTGGCGTGGAACCACCCCGAGCCGTTCCCGTTGTGACCCGTGTGAGACGACAGCAAGCGCGAGGTTTGAAGGTGCCTTTTTCCTCCAGAGGCTGCTAGGGGGACAGTGCTCAGGCTTCAGTGCAGCTCTTGGAGAGTTTTAGGGCTCTGAAGGCCAGCAGGGAGGTGCAGGGTACCCTGCCGGGGGTCTGGTGTGTTCTTGGTTGAGCACAGGATGGTATCATGTACAAATGACTCTGCCAGGGAGGACTCATCCTGCTCTTGAGATGTGTCAGGAGGAGTTTGGGCTTTTAGTGCCTTAACTCTATCAGGTTCTCCAGATTTATTCTTGGGCAGAAATGCAGGATGTGAATTGTCCGGGTTCACGGATTTTGAAAATGCGTAATAGTTCCTGCTTGCTCTCCTCCTCAGTTAGCATTGGCATGAAAAATATTTTATTTTTTTATGACTAGGAGGAAAAGGAGAAATAATTTGGAGCAGCGGATGGGTGTAATGGTGCAATCTGCTTGAACTCAGCAACGTGCCTGATAACAGGTATCATCTAAGGCTGTAAATAGTCCGGGGCGGGGTCACCCATATGCACAAGGACATACTTGTCTAAACATCATCTGCTATAAGGCTCAGACCAGGAAAGGTACCTATTTCCTATTAATTTGCCTACAAAATAAGCTTGTGGCTATTTTTGTGGATATTTTTCTGTTTAGGAGAGTCTTCCTTGAGTGAAGCCCAAGGTGCAACTAACTTCTTCTGTTGTCTTTTTAACAGCCAGTACCAGATGCTTGAGGAGGAGTGTAAAGCCTGAAGTGATCTTCTGGGGCAGCTCCTGGCTGCCGAGTGGTTTAGGGACTTTCTGGGCAGGAGGTTGTGCTCAGAAGCTACCCCGAGCCTGCCCCCTGAGAATGTGCCTAATCCCTGCTGAGCACGTTGGTACTTTGGGCTCCCATACAGTAAAGGATCCTCGGTGTGAAGTATGTCATTTGCTCAGTTCTAAGCCAGCTACTCGGTCAGGTTGTCATCAGACTGCCTTTGTGTCTGGAATCAGGAGAAACGGTCAATGGTGGGTCCCAGTTGACCCCTTCTGTATTGGCCGGGAGTTACTGGAGTCCTCTCTCTTTTCCACACTCAACAGCCCTGGGCTCTCTGACACCTCAGCCTGGGGAACTGCCTATTTCTGAATATTTATTTACGTGGTCTGGACAGTTTGGGAATTGAGAATTTTGCTTGAGCCTCAGATCTACTAAACTTTGTTCATTGCTGCAAATGAAGGTTGGTGAGTGATTTTTTAGCCATTTTGATGAAACCAGTAGGCCAGGATGTGCTGTAGTGCTGGAATCTCTTCCAATGAGCTCTCAGATTTTAGCACTGAAGGTCACTGGCCTCTTCTTGAAAAATCTTCCCTACTGCAAAGGAAAAGAAGGTTCAGGATGCTCCTGGTGCAGCCGGCAGTGGGTCCTTAGAGAATCTCCCTGTGTTTTTCTAGGAAGGAAGGCAGGAGCGTTATAACTGGGGCAATGTCAGAGGTAGGCAAATACCCCCTAATTGTATGCAGATGACAGAGCTGGTTCAACCTTTTGACTAGTGAAGCTTTCCTCGATTTGGGATATTGTGATCCTAATCAGGGACCTTTCGCTGCACATCAAAGCTGAACCCGCATACCTTGGGGCTGGCACGGCTTGATTGCGAGGCTTCCTGCTAGCCGGCTCATCCCTGGCCAGGTGTCTTTCCTGCTGTGGACGACTGATTCCTTTCTACTCTTCATCACCGAGGCAAAGAAATTTAATCCTAATATTACTGCCAGCCCTGGAATGGACCCACTGATTTGGAAATTTCACCCTCTTGTTGCCCTGAAATCTCAACGCACAGCAACCTCTGATACCTGCTTGTTTCATTGCCAACCTCTAACCTGAGGTGGAGCAGACCTGTCATTAGCGCATTCATCTGTGTTCAGATCTGTCAGCTTCCTTCCCCTTCTCCTCTTTTGTTTCTCTAATTACTTTGATTGCATCTCTGCATCCAACTCGGAGCCTGCGGGGTCCCCATCCCAGTCTGTGTCCCTTTTCCTTTTCATAGAGGCAGCAGAGGTGGCTTTTTGAGAGGGAGATGGTTGGGCCTGGATTTTAAAACCATGAATGCAGCTGTGTTTAGATCTGCTGGTAACTTTTCAGTCTGTTATACAGAAATATTCCCGTGGCAGAGCCTACTTTTCAAGCTTTTCCTATGGCTTCGTGATGCTCTGTGCCTCCCTGTCTCCTGCCCCGCAGTTCTGGGAGCTCTGCAAGGGCTCGGCTGCGGGTAAAGGCAACTTCCAGCATATTTCAAGTGAAATGGCATATTGCTCGAGGATTTTTGTATGGAATTTTCAGCAAACAGGCAGTGGAAGGAGTCACGTTGGAGCTCTCGTTGCGTTGTGTTCCCTCGGGGACAGCAGCGGGGTCTGGGGTGCAGATGTGCCCGGGAGTCTTTCCAGCCTCTGCTTCCCCCTGCCGTTACAGGCTCTCCCTGTAGTTTAACCAGAGTATTTGGCATCTTGAGATAATACCTTGACATATAAGATAAAGTAAAATACAATATTTGTGATGGTAGTTTTTCTCTTTTTTTTCCCCCCAGGGGCTGATTAAAATTCGAGGAGATCGCTGCTGGAGAGAGTTAACTTGCATGGATTATCACTATGAGGTGAGCGATCCGCACGTTAAAACCAGTTTCTCTTGTCTGCTTTACTCTGGTCAAGAATTTTTTTCTGAGCTTTTCTCTTCTGCCAGGCAACTCTCCATGTTTTCTTTCTTCCTTGTAGTCTTCTGTCTCAGTTAGTAGCCACGTGCCAGCTCAGTGATGCTGATTTTCCCCAACCCGTCCTAAAAGTCCAGTTTCTCTCCTTCCCTTCTCTCCCCATCAGGGAGTGATTCAGGAGCAAACCTGAGCCTCACTAAGACCCCCTCTCTGTAAAAATGCTGCAGGAGAGGAGCAGAAGGGAGTTTTCTGTAGCATTGTGCTGAATGTTTTCTGCTCACGCTTCCAAAATGCAGACATATGTGGCCAGAAATAGAGCATCTCAGCGCGCTCCAAGATGCGCAGCGCTAATCGCTGGCAATTCAGAATTATACGGTTTTATCTTTTTGACATCTGCTTCGCTGATTACATTGCATTCTGATTATAAACCGTGGTTTGTGTTCTGGCTCTGCGTGTTGTCTCCTCTTTGATTACAGAGAGAGGAGCTCAGCTTTCCCTCTCTTTTTATCTGTATTTCTTTTGCATTTGCGTTTTGTATAAACAGCGTTCAGAAAGAAATTGCTGCACACGGCGACGCTGCGCTGAGCGAGTGGCTCTCGCTTAATGGAGGAAACGGTGCCGAGGCAATATCCCCTTCTCCAGTTTAACATCGCAGCCACTGGAAGTGGCACAGCACGTTGTCACGCCTCTGCTCTCTAATCCGTGTCTGGCTAACGAGTGGGCGAGCGTGCCCCATCTGCTCGCAGGAGGCTGCAGGCTCTCAGCCTCGTGCAGTTTTTGCGCTGGTCCCGCGTTGGTAAGACACAAGTTCATTGCAGTGAGCAGCCCGAGCTGTCGGCCCCTGGAGATGTACCTGTGGGGTGACATTCTCGGCGGACCTCCATCCCGTCTGGAAACCATTTCCCCCTTTCCAATTAAACCTGGCAGAGCCTGACTTCTCTGACCTGCAGAACGTGTTCCAAGGTGTTGCCTATGAATTGCTTTTCAGGGGGTCGGCACGCTGAGCACTGGAAACGGGGACGCTCGTACGGGACCTCTGCCTTTCCACCTTTGTGTCAAGAGAATTGCATGCGAGTGCCAGGGACTGGCGAGTGACCAGTCCTGTGAGAGCATTGGCATTCCTCTTCCCAAAGAGGAAAAAAATCTATCAGTTTCTCGAGGGGCTGGTGGCTTTATTTTTTGCTCATCTGACTGAGCTAACTGCTTGCATGTTTCGAAATGGAATTTTGCGGGTCCAGTAAGTTTTATCTGCCTTTTCAGCTTTAACACTCTTTTTTTTTGTTGTTGTTGGTTATTACCATTTACTTCCCATGGAGTTTCACCTGCTGAATACAAGGGTGACCTTTTACAAAGCCTGCTGCTGGGTTAGCTCTTGGAGCATCAGTGTGGTGCTTCATTCTCAGTAAAACCTGGGATGCACAGACCCCTCAGCTCTGTCATTCTTCATCCCGAATGCGAAGGTGGCTGCGGTAAATCGTCCTTCGTTTTTGCCCAGGCGCCTGGCAGCGGCTGAGAAAAGCCAGCTCAGTGCGAGCCCCCCAGAATCCCCCGGCCGGCTCCGTCGGTGACCCCAGCCCACAACTGTCAGCCTGCGTAATCCCAAATATTTCAAATCAAAACCAGAATCAGTTCCGTAGCCCAGAAGGCTAATTAAGACCATTCCTGTCATATCCACGAGGCAGGATCCCCAGCCTGCACCAAGTAATTGGGAACAGGGGTGGGGGGCAGATCGCATTATCAATATCAATTATTTTAATCTGTGCAAAAGACGCTGCAATAAAAGGAAAACGAAAGAGGCCGAATTTTGTCTACCAACAGACGAAGGACAGCAGTTCACCTGCTGATTTCAGCTGGCTGAGGGGAGGAAGAAAAGGGTAAAACTGAAGATACCTCTGCAAGGGAGGGAGGGAGCTGGGAATCTGCTCGTAATTAGGATGATAAAACTTGGGTATTGGACCAGCTCGTAAATGGAGCTGGGCCAAATGTAGTCTGCTGTGATGTATGTTGGCCACCCCAGCTCTCCTGTTCCAGTCCTGAACTTCAGTCCAAAATCTACACGGGCTTCTCTGCCAAGAGAATTACCGAAAACACATGGTCTCCATCTCTCGCGTGGGGAGGGCGCCCTGCACTATTTATTTGTAGTAGAACCGGCAGCTATGCTCGTGGAAAATAACATTTCCACTTTTGTCAGGAGCCGTGTGTAAAAGAGTGAAATGTTGTTACGGCTCGGGTAATTAAACGGAGCATATTTTCCCTCCCTCTTTCCTTTCTAACGTGCAGGGGCCTTAATTCCAGCCTTTATGGAGATCTGTTCCTCAACTGAAGACTCTCTGTTTGGAGGGCTTACGATCTGTGACGCTGTGTAATTTGGAGAGGGAAATGGCAGAACGCACGGTTTACATAGGAGAGGTATTTTCCTACCAGCCTAACTCTCCTCTAATCCCCGAGGAGTAGATGGGCTCCAGTCAGCGTGGAAGAGAAAGGCAGACGCTGATGGAGTTGAGAAGGCTTTGCTACACCACCAGGCACAGCCTGGCACATGGAAACTACCTGGAGGCTGGGATGAGGGGTGGGAGTAGAAACACTTGGCAGATTAATCCTGGTTCTGGGTGCCAGGAGTCCCGAGCTCTAATCCCAGCTTGGCAAAACACCGTGAACGGGGAGTTTAACCTCCTCCTGCGTTATTTTCTTTGCTAACGTGGCTGGAGTCCCCAAGGTAGGTGTGTATGTTTGCACCCTGGGGTGTTTGTGGGACAGAGCTCTGGATGCCCGTGGTGCCCCGGAGCTTCGCATGAGCGTGTGAGAATGGACGTTCCTGGGTGGTAACGGGCTGCTGAAGTCCTGGGGTCTGTCATCCCACGAGCTTTATTTGTCATTCGCCGGGTTTGCTGTCGTTTCACTGCCAGCTGCGGTTAAAAGGCTTTTTTCCCTTGTAAGAAGTCCCAGTAAAAGGGAAGCTTTCTGGCTCAGTGGAACCCATTCCTGATGCAGTTAACGCGGAGGGAAGCTGCTTCTGGGTGTTAGGTCTGTTTGTCATCATGATTATTAGGCATTTATCTACTGCGTACACAACGGTTTACAAATATGCGTGCGGCGGTTTGCAGGCTGGAGCTAGATTTCTGCTCCCACTGAAGCCCATGGCAGGGATCCCACAGCGGCTGGAGACGTCTCAAAGATGTTGGTGAAGACACAGCAGCTTCGGTTCCCTGCTTGTGCGAGGTGGGGGGATGCGGCTGACCCTGTCCCTCTGCCCCTGCCTGCTCCAGAGCTTGTCCTTCCGAGCGCGACAGCTCTCTCCCATAGCCAGGCTCCCATCTGCACAGGGGAAAAAATCTGGTACGGAAGGTTTTGTGCTGCTCGAGGCCATTTCTGGAGCTCGCACAGCTTGCAGGACATTGCCTGGGCTGGAGCAGCTTTCTAACTGCTCTTCGGTACCCGGTCCACGAGCCAGGCGTGGGATCGGGGAGCACCAGCTTGTTGCCCAAGGGCCTCTTACCACTCCCTCCTGTGCCAAGCTTTTATCTGGCCCAGGCTTTGCTAATTCTGAGTGTGCTGCTTCGCTGGCACAAGCACAATGTCTTACCGTGCTCCAAATGGAGAAAATCCTTTTGTGCAAGGGCCGTATTTTAGAATCTCCCCACCAAACCTGGAGTTCTCAGCCCCTTGCACTTACACCTTGCGACCACATGTCCTGGCACGGGACAGGTTTGAGTGGCACAGGCAGGACACGGATGTTTCTGACCCAGAGCCCCTGTTTTTGGATGCTGGTGGTGGTGATCTTGGCAGGGCAGTTAAACAGATAATCTTAAGGGTTTAGAAATGGGAAAGTCCTACATGGTCCCATCTATCGCGTCTCCCCGTATTCCACTGCAGCAGTACTCCCTGGGGGATGCAATCCAGTGATGCGTTTTTATAATGATTGCCAAAGTATTGTTGCTTTTTAATTACAGAGAGATAGCTTGTAAAATTCAGCCACCAACTGGTAGGAACAGCTGCCGAAGCAGCTGCTCGGGTAGGCAAGCGCCGGGAGGAGAGCTCCGCTGGCCATCCTCCTCCTCTGCCAGCTTTGTACCGGAACCGTGCAGGAGCAGCTAAACACCTCCAGGAGGTCCCTCGTGTCCTGGTGGCCCGTCCTCAGCAAAGCTCAGCAGGGCTGCAAGCCGTGGCATGCGCCAGGCAAGGGACCTGTGGCCCTTCTGCTTACTACTGGAATGACTCACATTTCATGATTTTAATTTTAAGATAATTTTTTTTACGTGTTGTTTCGAAGGGAGAGCCTTTTCTCCAAGTGTTTCTCCATGATTTGCATCCTTTGCTGCAGAAAGCCAGGCTAGGGGGGCAAATTTACGACTGAGACAAAGATGAGGCAGAGGGATAAAGGGAAAGAAAACCAAAAACCTGCTCCTGAAGCAACAGATCTTTGTCAATTTTGGAAGTAAGACCTGAGATTGCTTCCCTGCTCTGGACTTTAATGTAGGTGCTCGGAATGGATTGGTTGCCACGGAGCAGGAAAGTTTGAAGGACTGTGCTCCGCCAGCCTCTACTTCATAACCAAATCCCACGTGAGTTCTGAATTTCTCGGTGCTGCTGAGGAAAGCTTTGTTCTTTACGTAAGACGCCGCGCAGCCACGAAGGTCATTTCTTCTGATCTGTACAAATCGTTGCTAATTATTCCGTAACTGCTTTTCTGAAATAGAGGCTGTCAATCAGTGCTCCAGCTTCTGGCGTGCGGCAGCTCCCCAGCTCCTGGAGAAGCTTTCCAGAGCACAATGTCTTTTGTACCTAATTAGGGGCTTGCTGACTGATAGCCCTGCTGATACGGGTGAGAAGGAAGCTGTAACTGCTCTTTAACTGCCTCTTGATTTCTTTTCTCCCTTCTCTTCACTGTGTTAGACCTCGTTAGACTTTTCATCTAGCCCTTTCCAACCCATTATGAAACAAAAAAC